AACTCGTGCTGAGGAAAATGGCTTCGTGTGCCATGCTTGGCACGCATACCGGGGGTACGAAACACCCCTATTCTAGTGTTTCATATAAGAACTTCCCCCGCTTTCCTCCTCTTATAATGACCATCATTTACTTTAAGACACTATCAAATGTAGCATGAATGAAAACGGTAGCATATATAGCATGCATGAGCAGTTGCAATACGTTATGTAGTTCAGAGCTTTGCTTTTTGATCTATGCCAAAGACATTTTAATCTCTGATATTCATGCTTTTATATACATTAGTTCTTGAAATGGTGCTGGAGGTGTGTGTCTTTCCCAGTTTCATGCTGCTGTGGCTTGCTTCTATAAAAATGAAGTAGTATGATCATCTTAGAAATTTTAGATTTATTTTACTTGTTTGGTCCAACAGTTGCACTCACTCATTGGAGAATTTCAAGGGAACTACAGTCATTGCAAATTTGTGGAAGTAAGTCCTAATGCTAAGCAAGCTAAGAAAAAATAACATATGTTAAGTATCAGTGTTTGATTTAAGGTGGAGACTTAGAGTGCCCCTGTATATTGCCACCCTTTTAATAAGTAGGGTTATGCACAGTTTGGGGTTGTATAAGGCCTTGGTGTGGGCGAAGGAAAGTGTGAGATAAGAGAGAAGGATAGCACGTCAGTTTTAGTTCTGAATTGCCCCTTTCTTTTTATGGAATTATGTAGCCACAGTAGTAATTTCATTGTTTGGATTGTAGCAGTTGCCATCTGACTTTGTCTTTCTGCAAAACTTCCTTTCTGCTTGACTTTTTCCTTTTCTACAGTATCTGTGTATGGCAAACTTTTACAAAAGTTTGTGGTTAGTCAGTGAAATAGCTTTGTAGTTAAAGGGACTTTGAAGAAATAGAAGTAGGAGTTTAAAATTGTTAGGATTGTCTTGTTTTATGGTAATTGAAAAGTGGTTTACTCTGAAAATGTTGTATTTATTTTATACACTAGTTCTCAGACAGGGCTGATATATAGGACTGTTTTAGCAAGCTGTTTGGAAAAACTTGTATTTGGGACAGATTGAACTTCTTTAGGGTTTTAAAGCTTTTTGTGGAAGTGTTATCAGTCACATTTCATGTCTGTAGAGTTAAATTTCATGAGAGGAAATGTCTTGTGTTCTAGGAACTTACAAGCTGTGCCCATAGGATGCTAATTTTAGGTAGGGGCTTTAAGTAAATTCCCATAGACACTGGAGAGTAGGGACTGTTGATCTCAGCATGAGCAGCTTCGAAACCAGTGGTTCAGATGAGGGATACTGAGCATTTCCTATAGAGACCTTCTCCAGCCTAACACCCAAAGCTTGGGTGACCTTCCTTCCAAAACTCCCATTCTGAATTCTGGATGACTCTGTCCCAGTTACGGCTGTTTGTTTCTCCTCACCTTCTTCTTACCTTACCGTAGCCACCCCATTCTAGCACATACAACAAGCAGCCAGGCTAGTTATCTGGCTCTCTGGTGCAGAAAGGATAGCAGGTCACTAAGTATTTCTTCTAATACCTCTGTAAAAATAATGCTGAAAATTTCCCCTTTCCAACTGGAAAGCTCTAACGTAGCTAGAGGTCTCATGGATCCATCAGCATCTATTCATATAGCAGAATTCATATCTCCATGAACATGCCATTTTCAAGAGGCTTCTAATATTGCACTCACTATGATAACCTGTGCTATGAGCTACCAGAGGTTTCAGCTTTCATAAATTCATTGTTAGAAAAAATGATTAAATACTCAGAAGTAAGTACATAGAAAGTAATGTTTCCTGCAGCAGCTCAAACTCTTTCCCCAGA